AACCGTAATCCAAAAATACCCCAAAATGAAACATCATGTGCTGCTTGTCTGAACCGGAGTTGGAAGAACTTCAACTTGAGCCCCGCATTGCAATGAATGGACTGAATTGCCATTATTGCAGTCCGTTTTTTTTTTTTTGCAGAGGATAAAGAATGCATGCACGTATATTTCTCTTTGGTTGATGTTGCTTAAGTTTTGCCTTTCTAACCTTTTTTGTTTTTTTCCTTTCCACAAATATATGTGACCCCCGAGTCACCTGACACGGAAGCGGGTGAGTCATCAGTACGTCCAGTGCATTAGCACGTAACAGCGGCTTGTTCCTTTGAGCATCTCCGGTGACACGCTGTTATTTTCATAGCCAAGCGTTGGGCCACCATCCGTTCCTTTTTTTTTTTTTTTTTTCTTTTCTTGACTGCCTCGCCGGCCGCGCAGGGATTCCAAATTGGACCTCAGCGGGGTACTAAATGTGCCTTCAATCTCAACAATCCTTTTAATCTTTCATCAGTCCGCATGGACGGCGTTCAGAAGCCTGATCCTTTTACAGCCTGGCGAGAATGGTGGACATGGCGGCTCGGTAAATTAATGAGAAAACCCTAAAAAAAAAAAAAGCAAGCGTGCAATCTGAAGAGGTATTTCGGGCACATCGCAATGCGTCTTAAAAAATGCTTTTCTCCAGCTGAACGACAATCACCGGAGCGACTCAAATGACCGGTCACAGTGCTCTTGCGTGTTCTGTTTAGCATTCAGTGGGAATCAGAGGCTCATTCAAGCAGAAAGTTTTCTTGTTAGCAAGGGGGCGATGTTTTGGATGCTGGCTGACTGCCAATCTGTTCGGGGTCATGCCGAAGCCGACGTTAAACCTTCCCCAAAATGTTGCTCCGATTGCGAACCGAACGACCTCGGCTTGATTTGAATTTACAAACTGATTGATCTTCATCAGGCAAAAAGCCAAAGCAAAACACAGCCTTTATTATATTATTATATTGTTATTATGATGATAATTGCTTGACTTAGGCTTTGCGTTCCAGCCATCTTAGTCGGAAAAGTGAATGTTTTCCACTCGCAACTAACACATTGTTTTAGTTTTCACCAAAACGCAGTCTGTCATGCCCCGGCGCAGATTCAGGCCGCACCTCACGTAAAACTTCCACTGTGAGCGAAAAAGAAATTCAAAAATCCCTTTCGATAGACACGAATCAAATTTGACATGAAGCTGCCTCCGTGTAAATAAACTTTGTGGGACCGGTTTAAAAAAAAACTGAGTCACACTGAGTCACCCAGAACGTCAACGCGAGGAAGTTTAAAGTTTGACGCCGCCTCACTTTGCGATTATAACGCCACTCGACCGGAATCAACCCGATGCAAAGCTGCTGATGTGCATTATAGCCTTTTTGAAAAGAAAAGAAAAAAAAAAAAGAACAAAAAAACCTCCTGTGATGTAAATAAAACATCAGACGTCGCTGGCGTCACGAAGCAGAGCTTACGTTTTAATGATGAAGGCAGATTTTAAAATAAGAAGAAGCAGCGGCGGCAGAAGGGCAAAACCATAAAAAAAAATAAAATAAAAATAGGCGGGGAGCGAAGCCGAGCGAAGCCCAATTAGGGGTTTTATGAGGCGAATAATTGGAGTCGCAGCATTGAGCCTTGTCTCAAAAGCAAACACGTTTTTTTTTTTTTTTGCTCTTTCTTCTGCTCACGACAAGAACAAAAGAACAAACTCCCGCACAAGTTCACAGCAAACCTGGTAAATTATTCAAGGGAAACATCAAAACGCGAGGACCCGCACAGAGCACAAAGTTTAGAGAGATTGTGTACACCTGCAGATACTGTCAAATCAATCCCATTTACCATCTTGATCGTTTCTATTCTGGATCCGAGTCCAAATTTGTTGCGAAACCCCAAACCAACATGGACGCAAATATTTTAGTCAGACTAGACATGTCTGGCAAATGGCATCCAGTCTGGCTCACATCCGGACTTAAATCGATTAAATTTCGGTCAAATTGGTTCAGCTTTATTTGAGGATTTGGGAAGGGGCATAAAAAAAGTGAGTCTCCGTTCACTGAAGGGATTTTGTTGCGGTTGGATGAGATTTGCCGCAGCAGGCATGGGGACGCACTCGAAAAAAAAGTCACGAAATCACAACAACCAAGAACGGCGAGTGAAGTTGGACGAGTATCTTGACTCCACGCGGCGCTGGAATGAGGTGCGCAGCCATGATGACGGCTTTCTTTCATTTCATTTCACTCCGACGGGACACTTTCATTTCCTCGCTGATGCGGTATTGTCGCGGATTTTTCCCTCGCAGAGATTTTTCATTACGTGTCAGCATCCATCTTCTTCACGGCGCGCTTGGTCTTTGCGAACGTGTCTAACAGGAACCACCGTCACATCCAGCTGTCGGTGTCTCTTACGGTACCATACGAAACATTAGCCCCAGTGTTTGGTGTCAGAAGTGGGGGGGGCCGAGGATGGACTTCAATAAGCCTATTAGGACACTACCGAAAGTATTAGCCACAAACTTTAGATTCAGAAGTGGGATCCAAGGTTCTTTTTGAGTTCGGGGACAAATAGAATGCCCTTCGTGTTTCTCAGTGTTGGTGATGGTAATGCCGTTGTGGTGTCAGAAGTGGGATCCAATAACTGGAATCCAGACGCGTGTGAGTGTCGGGGAATCACCCACTCGGGGTACAAACAATGCTGTTGGTGGTTCAATGTTGATTTTTGAGATATTGGACACATTGGCCACATTTGGTGTCAGAAGTAGGATCCAAGGGCGGACCATCTACACACGTAAAATGGAGACAGAAAGAATACACATGGCGATTACTAGGCTGATATAGAGAATATCCAACATAAAATTGGTGTCAGAAGTAGGATCCAAGGAGCCACTTTTAGGCATGAGAGCTGAGGGTTTGCACAAAAACTATATGACGGTATTGATGTTTGGCTGCTTATGTTGCCCCAAAACCGGATGGCAGAAGTGGGATCCAGGGGTCAACCACCCATACAGTCCCAACGAAAATACAGCCACAGCATTGAGTGCTCATCATGCCCCCCCCCCAAAGCTTCAAGATGTGCCTGAATGTTTTTGGGGCGGCACACAAAAAGCCAACATTCCCACACGGACGCGGGGCGCAATACCTCACCGAACCCCCCTTCCCCGTCTCCAGTTTTCCATGTGAAAAGCATCTTTCACTTTTCGGTCCCACTCTGAGCCCAGCCACCCAGATTAACTTCTTGGCACACAATGCGGCGAATTAGAGGACCGACGCCCACCCCGCCGCAAGACGCCCTCCGGCCTTGGGGGGGGTGACCAAACACACTTCCAGGGCCAGGAACTCTTGACCGGCGGCTCGGAGCGGGAACCGGCGGCCAGTGTGAGTAGCGAGCGGATTTAGAAGCGGGACAAAAGAGGCAAGCGGCACATATGGTGGTTTTGCGTCACCTTCCAAACCGCTCATGTCAATGGTCGCAATTGATTGCTCCAAATCGGCTTTCGGGTTTCAAGTCAAATGGACGGCGGGACGTCACTTTTGTACAAACCCAATTGCAACAAATTGTGTGTTCAACCTAAATCAAAACAGAATTCGATGATTTGCCAATCGTCAATATATTACTAAAAAGACAAGATATTTCATCTTCAAATTGATAAACCTTTTTTTATTTATTTTTTTTAATCAAGTAATCATGAACTTATAATTTTATGGCTGCGACACGTTCCAGAAAATCTGGGACCAGGTCATGCAACAACATTCATTAAACGTTTGGGAAGTGGCAACACTGACGTCCAAAATCATATTCTTATGCTGTACGTTCTTTTGCTTATTTTATTTTGTATTTATTTACTTTGCTTTTAGGTTTTCCAAAAATCTTTTGCCTTTAAATGTGACCATTAAATGTTTTGTCAAGCGCATTGAGTTACCTTGTGTATGAAAACAGAGCCTTGCCCTTAAGCAAATACGCCGAACGCTATTACCACGATTCTATTTTTTTAACACCGATGACATCATCGTCGTCAGTTATCCATCCATTTTCTAATCCACTTCTCCTCACGAGGGTCGCGGGCGTGCTGGTGCACCTCCCGGCTGTCTTCGGCCAGTTGGCGGTCGGTCGTCAACCACACAACCATAAAAATCATGCAAGTATAAATTCTACAAACATGATCGGCCTCCTAAATTGTACTTTTTTTTTTTTTTTTTGGCGCCCTAATTCTTGACACATGTTGCAATGTAAATAAAATGAATACTGTACAGTAAGTTGAGAGAGAGAGACGGAGAGAGAAAGAGAGGGAGGCAGAGAGAGAGAGGCAGAGAGAGAGCGAGCAGCAGCAGCAGCCACTTGCAGGGACTGGATCCTCCTCGCACCGAAGGGGGCGTCCACGCACCCTGTTTGCCTCGCGTGTGCTCAGTGAGTGGGAGCAGGCGGGCAGGCAGAAGCAGAAGCAGAAGCGGCTTGTCACTCCCCTGCATGCACATCGGCTGGCTACCTCGGCGCCGTGACACCTCGTTTTCCTGCTTCCCCCCCTCCCTCGTCCCCCGTTTTTTTTTTTCTAATTTTCTTTTTTGAAATTATTCGGAGCGGCGCGCACGGAAGCAAGGGAGGAAAACGGGACGATTTTTCTCCCTCTTTTTTTCTCTCTTTTTCCTTTTCACGTAACAACGTGCCTTGTGGAAATAACGCGCATCCACGAGTGTGGGTGCTGGAGGAAGGAGGGAGGGAGTGGGGGGCGGGGGGAGGCTCATCAAGTGAAGTGAGGACCCGGACGGGACCTGCTGCATTGTCTCCGCCATGGTAAGATGCAGAAATGCTCGTTGGAATATACGTCGTGCACGCAGATGTGGCTCACCACGCTCCTACCACCCCCCGAACCGCACCTTCCCTCCGTGGCGTGCACAGCTCGCTCGCTGGTCTACCTGCACGCGCGCTACGTGTTTGCGTTCATACGTGACGAAACGTGGTCCTGTCAGTAAAGTGGAGGCATGAGGCGAGAGGATGTCCCGAACATGTGCCCCCACATGGTTGGTCGGAGGGAGGATGATGGTGACGGTGGGTTCGCTTTAAATGGGACTTGGACTGAATATCATGGATGGAGTGCTTAGGGATTGGGGGGGGGGGGGGCACATTGGACTGTGCTGGTGCTGTTTTAAATGGATAGAAGAAAATATTTTAGTATGCATATTTGATATGATTCATATTTCGTGTATTTTTATAGATGTATAGAGAAAAAATATTTTTGGAATTAGTGAATATTTTTATATTTTTTATATAAGTTTTTTTTATCCTTTTTTCATTTTTTCTATGAAATTTGAATATAAGTTTTAAAAACATGCAAAATATAAAATACAGCAGTTTGGCTCATGTGTTTGTGTAAATGCACATTGTACACATCATATTGTTTCGATTATCAAAAAAAATTGATTGAAATATCGAGGAATATATTTAAACTACTCCTAAATTTATTTTAAAAAATACATTTTTCCCCACAAGTCCTGAATCCATATTGTAGTCTGTTGTTTTTATGATTGAAAACAGTTCTAAAAATGTGCAAGCGTGTAATTGTTAAGCAACGATCAAGCGTTACGGTGCTGTGTTGTGGTGCGGCTTCATTTTGAGGAGTTCCCAAACAGTGTGTGAGAGCAGAGGAGGAGTAAGAAGAGCGAGTGAGTGAGTGAGTGAGTCGGACCCCCGGGAGCCATTGTGGGGGGGGGGGTTGCAGCACCAGTAGCTCAAACCTTCTCCCTCTCTGATTGGCTGGCTGGAAACAACTTGTGTCCACTCTTCCGAGCGTGTTTCATTCTGCGGTTTCATTTAATTTTTGTGTGTGTGTGTGTGTGTGTGTGTGTGTGTGTCCTTTGATGTATGTTGAGTAGTGATGGACGTGATTGGATATTGAGTCCTGTCTTGTACAAGGGGTCACCTGTAACATAACGAGGCAAAGTTACTCAATAGGATGCCAACTTGCAGAGCCTTCTTGCCGATGTCATCCAGTGTGGGCGGAGCTTGCTGCCACGGAATTCGCTGGCAGGTTTTATTGACGTTGAAATGGGAATAATTAGTCGAATGGCTCATCGAGCCAGCTGAATTTGACTGGCACTATGGGCAAGCGGTTTACACATATGCCTCACACTGCAGAAGTTTGGGGTTCGAATCGCTGAAGAGGAAGGGTGTGCTTTGAAGGCCGTGAAACGGCGAAAAAAGATGCCCGAGATTGACGTCACCAAATTTTTTTGGTTTCAGTGACCTGTGTTATTAGTTCACGTTTACCACAAACACTTTATCATACTAATTCATCTCACATTAGCATTAAAAATGCACGGTTGACAGATTATTTGATTTCGAAAACATACACGTGCGGCAATGACTCTAACTTGCGCTAACAACGCAGGCGAAACTGAGCTCCTTTCCAATCTGCAACCATCTTACTACAGTTGAAGTGTATGACTTCAACATACTTCCTTGATACCAATGACTACTTTCCCATTAGATTGGGCTTTGGTGCCATCTTGTGGTGTGTCCAAAAGCGCACCAAAAATTCATTAAAAAAATGCCAAGAGAAATTTCCGCCGTCAATAAAATTCAAAAAGTGGACTGTGCAGTACGTGACGTTGAAAAATTTTCATTGATTTCTTTGTTTGACACTTGCATGCAGGATGACAGGATGTAAAGTAGAACTTAATACAGTCTAGCGCCACACCCCGGGAAGAACACAGGAGAAATCGTTCTTACGCATGTTTCCGCACCGAACGTCGCCGCATCGCCGTAACTGCTCCGTAAGCGTTTGAACTCACGACGGCGCTGTGGCGTCACAGACAAAACTGTGAAACGTCTCCTCCCGCTCCCTTCGGAGACGGCCGGGAGGGAATCAACACACCGTCGCGCCTTTCAAATAATCATGATTGGGATTGTTATGAGCAGCGTGAACGCCAGAAAGCAATTTTTGTTATTGTGCGCGTGACAAAGGACAACAGTTGAAAACCCTCAGTCACACCAGCCACATTATTGGGTACACTGGCAGCATTTGATCAGATTGAATAAATTAGTGAAATTATCCATCCATTTTCTAATTCGTTTCTCCATAGGAGGATCGCGGGTGTGCGGGAGTCTATGCCAGCCGTCTTCGGGTAGTAGGCGGGTGACACCCTGAACTGGTTGCCAGCCAATCGCAGAGCACATTAACAACGCGCTCACAATCACACCAAGAGACAATTTCAAAGTGTTTCATTAGCCTACCGTGCCTATTTTTGGAATGTGGGGGGAAACTGGAGTACCCAGAGAAAACGCACGCAGGTGCAGGGAAAACATGCAAAAATGCCACGCAGGAAGGTCATAGCGTGCCACCCCATCAAGTGATCCAACTTGACCTAATTGATCCAAAAATGCAAATTATTCATTCAAAAAATATAGATCTCGGTTCATCTTTCTTTGCCAGCGACATATAGTGACAGGCAGAAAAAAATAGAAAATCTGTGTTCTTCCAAGAATATGATAGCTTCGTGAAGCAGGCCCAGATTTTAACCCGAGTGATTAAATGTTGGAGCGAATCGAGACGAGGTCATCATTCTTTCAGTCTCTTTCTGCTTTATGATATTTTCTTTTGGTCCTGTGCCTTGAGATTTTTCATGCAGAGCGAGTGCAATGCGGCGTCTGAAGATACAAACGCTCCCTTTTGAATTAACGCATTCAATGAAATGTCATTGCATCGTCACATTAAAGCGTCGTATTCCGGCTACTGCGTTGAGTAAGACCAGTGGGTCAAAATAATCCCCACAGCTCATAGCGCAATCTTAGAACCAATGAGAAAAAGCCAAAAGTGCTTTTTTATTTTTTTCCTTCCAGCGGTGTGCGACCGCATCGCTGTTTCTTCTTGTTATTCGGTCAACATCAGAGGGGGCAAACTATTGCCTCATATCAGGGCCCCGCAACGAGATGCATGCATAATTAAAGTAGCCAGCGCAGATGAACGGACCCTCGCACCTCTGCTTTAATTGCAAATCCGAGAACTAATCATCCAACTTTGGCGGCCCGCTGCGCCCACATTCAGTCACACGGGCAAAAAAAGAAAAAAAAAAAAAGCTTTGCATTTTGTGTGGCCCATCTGTCTCAGGCACCCGCTTCCGATTAAGGCTCATTTATGCAAAGTCTCTTGTCGGCCATCTTACAATGTAAATAGAGGAGAAATAACGCCAAAAAAAATCAATGGATGAAGTGGCTCTTTTTTTTCCCCTTGAAGCATAAATGAAATCATCACACGGATCTCTGCGTGTGGTCGTTTTTTTTTTTTTTCCACTGATGTCAGTAATTCTAAGGTGTCAAAGGAATCAATAATTCTTGTATACCTGCTTTTTCAGCAGGCTCAACCCGAGTATTTAATTTTTTATTTTATATTTTTTTGGCCCGGGGGCTCGACGTTGAGCCGAGGCTGCTCTGCGATGCATCCCGCGCGCAGATGCACGTACTCCATCAAAATGTAACCCGTGACGGCGTGGCTTGTACGGAGCGACACGGCCACGTGCTTTCAGCCTCCCCCCCGCAACGAGCTATTCCAAGTCACCCGCAGACAGGCCGGGCCGGGCCGGGCCGGGCCGAGCCGAGCGGCGTTGTGACCTGCTCTTCAACCTTTTCCCTCCGCGCTCTCTCAAAGGAGCAGAAAGACATTTAGCTTGTCTGACCTTGCCGCGCCGCGTCTCCATTCTCACTCTGTTGCGATGGCTTCATCCGTTTGGATGTGTCACATGGTGGCTCCTCCGATTCCTCATGACTACCCCTGCGAAACATTAATAGCTAATAGCCAATGCTAACAAAAATTCTCTCAACTTGATGGGAACGAGTGACGACCCGTACATGTAGATGCGCCACATACATTTTTTAAATATATTTTTTCCTTCATACCGTTGACTGTTTCTGAGCGAGCAGATGAAAGTTACGGCGAAAGGATCGCAAGATAAAATAAGACGGATAACCCTCTTAAAGAAGTGAATTCCGAGATTTGTTTCTTCATAGACTTGGGACACGCCGACACCCGCAGCGCTTCAAAGCCGAGACAAGCGTTTGATTTTTCGAGCCTCGTTTTGCAGAATTGGACATTTTTTCATCCATTTCTCCATTTTCTAATCCGCTTCTCCTCACAAGGGATTGTTCTCAGCCTTTTGCCAAGCTTGCTGATGAGCCGATCATTTGAATCAGGTGTGTTGGAGGAGGGAGACTTCGAAAAAAAAAAAAAAAAGGCAGGATAGGGGCCACTCGAGGGCCGGACTTTGGGGACCGCTGCCTTAGAAGGACACAAATGTCGAGAAAGCTCCGCCTATAAACTTGACGTCAGCCAAGTTTTCCTCAGCCGGGGTACTTTGTTTTTGTTTCGATGTTCGTCGCAATGAAAGAAAATACCGCCGAGACGACCTCGGGAATTATCGTCTGATATAAAATGGCGTGCCTCGTTGAATTGGTTTTGTTGACCGTCATAAAATACGATGCGGTGTCTTGTTGGTAAGTGAGCAGGTGCTCAAATTTGAGGGCCCGTATTGCTCCGGGCTCGGATTACTTTCTTAAATCCGTGGCGGAGTTGTTTGTATTGGGGAGCCAGGTGTTAGCACCCCCGCCCCTGGACACACCTCCTGCACCCGCACAAAGACTCCTCATCCGGTCAATTGTTTGATGGCCGGCCAGGGGCGGGGAGTCCTCCAGACTGTGTCATCAAACACAGTGGAGTCTCCACGTTCATGAATGGCAACGTTCATCCGAAGAGTCTGGAAAAGCAACGGGAGCCGCCTTGCTCGAGATTTTATGTCTAATGT